TTGAGAGATGGGTACGAAAATGACCGAATTTTGATTCATAATCACGTAAGAAACATATTTGAATTGCCGAGTGTAGTAAAAGAATAGCATCATTTATTAAGAAGGGCATTAGACAGCATTACAAAAGATTTACGCGCGCTAAAAACATTAGGCGGGCCAACAGACTCTTGGGTCACCTTATTAATATACATAATAATCTTGAAATTAGACTCAATTAAACACGCGTCGCGAATGGGAAACCTTACCGAAATCTAAAAAATTGCCGAAATTCGAAGAATTTATGACGTTCTTGACAAATAAATGTCAAATATTGGAAGCAATGGAAACAAAAATTGTATCGAATAATAAATTCATTTCAAAAGGCCAAGAAGAACAATTCGTGCATGTATAAACTAATCAGAATAATAAATATCCAATAAATTGTGACTTTTGCAAAGATAATAATCATTTTACGTTTCAATGTCGGAAGCTTTTAGCTTTACCAATGAAATTGCGTTATTTAGAAGTAAAGAAAGCGGGTATCTGTACAAATTGCTTAAAACCCGGACACGATTCAAATAAATGTACCGGCCGAAACTGTAAGATTTGCCGCAAGCATCACAATACCATATTGCATGATTATAATTTTCAACAAAACGCACGCACAAATAATATAATGACGAATTAGATAATAATTATCAAAACACAGATCGCTCAGCAAATAAATCAAACAGGCAGTCGAATACAACTCAAAGTCAAATACAGAGGGATCAAAACGGTAGTAGTCAAATTGAGTCAGAGTCATCGGACCATGCACTTACTATTACTTTAGCTTCACATCCAAAGAGTCAAAACACTACCTACTCAAGTTTTACTAGCCACCGCAATAGTTTATGTCACAGATAAGAACCAACAAATAAAATGTCGTGCATGTCAGATGCAGCAAGCCAATCGAACTTCTGTACTTTAGATTTATTCAAACGACTCAAAATACAAGGTATTCGTATTAACGTGCCTATTGTTGGTATCAGCAACACTACTTGTAATATTTCATATCAAATTAAAACACAAATGCAATCAAGTAACGGATCTTGTAAATTGACATTACCATTCTGTCATTGATCAAATTACAGGCTATTTACCGCAAGCTTCATTTGATCCTACTGCATGTAACATACCAGACTACATAACACTAATCCTAATTTCTACGAATCCGATAAAATCTATATTTTATTAGGAACCACAGCATTTTTCGAACTATTAAATAGTCACAGAATTAAATTAATGATGGATTACTTTTACAAAGCACACGACTAGGTTGGATTATAGTTGGTCCAGTTCAAACAATAAGACAACCGATTTAGAATTAGATTCTAAATGTCTCATAGCAACGAACATGTTAAATAACCAGGTGGAACGGCAAATCGAAAATGTTATAAATTCCGATTCAAAATTATTAACTCGAATGTGAAATCGTCTTTCGCGAAAATGTTGTACAAAATAGCGACGGTCGATTTACAGTAAAATTACCATTTAAAGAATGTGTCTCAAAGTTAGGAGAACCATTAAATATGGTAATTCATAGATTACATGCAACGGAAAGTAAATTATTAAAAAATTCCGAACTTAAGGAAAAGTATGTCGAATTTTTACATGAATACGAAAGTATGGGGCATATGACAAAAATTAATACTAGTAACGATAATCCGAACGACATTCAAAATTATCTTCCTCATCACGCGGTAACAAAAGAGACAAGTTCTACAACGAAAGTACGGGTGGTTTTCGATGCATCGGCCCAGACATCGTCAGGTTTTAGCTTAAATGATTTATTTTAAGTAGGTCCGAATGTACAGGGCGATCTTTTCGACATAGTGACTAGAATGCGCACTCATAGCATAGTTATCGATGCTGACGTAGAGAAAATGTACAAAATGATCGATATATACGAACCGCACCGTGACTTTCAGCGCATCGTATGTATACTATAACATATGGTACATCCAGCGCATCATTGCTTGCAACGCGCACATTGCATCAAATAGGGCTAAATTGTCAAAAGGACTATCCAAATGCAAATACGGTCATAAAACACGATTTCTACATGGATGATTTAATTACCGGTTCATGTACGTTATCAGAAGTAATACAATTAAAAACACAAGTAGAATCTATTTTATCGAAGTCAGGATTTACACTTAGAAAGTGGATGTCTAATGATATGCGGGTACTACAAAATAATGACAATCATTCAATCAACAATAAACCTTTTCAGATTAAAGACAGTCAAGAAGCAAAAACCCTTGGATTGCTGTGGGAAGCAAATAATGATACATTAAATTATGTTATCGAATTACCTTTACATTTCGAAAATATTACTAAAAGCATGGTTTTGTCGTATATCGCAAGAATATTCGATCTGTTGGGTCTTAATTATTCATCAAAAACATTTACATGCTGGTGCACAATATATTTTATCGGCAATTAGAAAACAATTCTGGCCACTTGATGGTAGTAATGCTATACGAAGCGTACTCAGAAAGTGTATTACTTGCTTTCGTATTAAACCGATCATTGCATCTACCCCATTAATGGGTAACTTGCCTAATTGTCGAACAAATCCTTCACGTCCATTTACATTTACTGGCATAGCCTACGCGGGACCTTATTTAATGAAAGATGGTTAGTTACGTAATAGAGCATTAGTAAAAATCTACTTATGTATATTCATATGCTTAACCACTATAGCCGTGCATGTTGAATTAGTAACTGATTTAACTACAGCAGCATTTTTAACATTTTCAAAAGATTTGTGTCTTGCAGAGGTTTGTGTGATCATATTTACATAGATAATGCTAAATGTTTCATAGGGGCAAGTAATGAATTACAATTACAAGGTGTTATAAATAACGCCTCCGAACATGAATCATATGTGTCTTATTTTTCTAACAATCACATAATCTGGCATTTTATACCACCACGGTCCCCACATTTTGGAGGCATGTGGGAGTCTGCTGTCAAATCATTTTAAGAGAGTAATTGGTGACAGCAAATTGACATTCGAGCAATTTTATACCATATCTACACAGATGGAGGCAGTGCTTAACTCTAGACCTATCGCACCCTTATCCAGTGATCCCGCTGACCTACAAGCGCTTAGCTCTGATCATTTTCTCATTGGAAGTGAGTTGACAGCTCTTCCGCAGGAGAGCATATTAGAGATACCCGTTTCCAATGGGCACTGAGAACGAATTCTAGCTTAGCCTTATTTTTAAGTTTATCATATAGAGCATTTATAAATTATTTCCAGGCGGGCGGCATGTTGAGCCAAAACAAGTAGGCCCTAATGTGTCACTTTGTATATAAATAAGTCAAAAAAAATAGATATAACGTCTTGTCAAGATACGTATGTATCATTCATTCTAAAAATATACAATTAAAAAAAAAGATACAGTCCACTTATTCATCAACCATAAAACAGAGAGATAGAACAAAATGTCAATAACAAAAGTTATGCGCAATGAATCAGGCTATCCATATTTAATATAACTGAACAGGAAACACTTTTGAGAAAAATTCAACTCTATGTTTTGGTATGTAGATTGGGGCCCCCGAAATTCTAGGGCCTATACGTTCCCTAATATCGTACCGCGCCTACCTTAGTGGGACATCCTGTATATAAAGGGTGATTCACAATTGGTGACCAAAAACGAAACCTCGTATTCTTTGGTGCATTTTTTTTGGGTGTCTTTTCCATAAAGTTTTTATATTCGTTAAAAAGATACAGGGTGTTTAAACTTCAAAAAATATTTTTAATTTCTTTAAATAATTTAAAAACTAGTAAGTGAAATAATTTGAAATTAGGAACATGTATTTATGTAAACATTGGCCAAAATCTGAGGACTTTTTCTGAAATTTACATGCTCCAGTGATGGAGATACAGGGTATCGGTGGCATATTTTTCTAAATAATTGAATAGTACACCACTGCTTTACGGTAACAACCATGATATTTTCGGATTCGTCTTTCAATTTTCTACAAATTACTACTCTCTTATGTTTTTTGAAAAAAGCCTGATTTTTGAGTAAACTTTATGAAACCAACTGAAAACACTTACTTAAATGACATGACATGACCAATCATTCGGTTATTTATTCGAATAAAGAAATTAATTACACTAGTGTCACTAGTCATTATTTTAATGAGTTTGAGTAAATGCTCAAAAATACCTCAGTTTCCACGAAAACAGACGCGACATCTTTTTAGTAACGAAAATGTAGGTAATTCTTTCTTCTAACTGCTCAGAATGTCAATGTTGTTATCGCAGCCTACTATGTAATTTTTTTAACTTTGACTTTGTTTTCAGTTCATATATCGGGTGTGCAATTTAACACTCCCGCTGCCAATATCTCCAAAATGAAGAAAATTATTTTAGTTTCGGAAACTGGGGTTGTTAGGTCCCTCGAAAAGCTTCAAATTGTAGTTAAAACTGTTAGTTCAAATCTTTCTGTATAGATGGCGTGGCGTTACTAAAAAATTTGTTTATCCCTGGAACGTGGAAATGCAGTTCATCTGAAAGATCGTTAATTTTTGAGAAATATTTGTAATATAAAGTTTTTTCCAATATTTACTTATTTTCAAGACATGTCGACTTCAATATGCAATATACGATGTAACAGGAAAATCTATTATTTTATCTAAATCACACCGAGACAAAATATTATTTTAAAATATTGTTATAATGACTTTATTCACACCACGTACTAACCAACAAACAATAAATTATAATAAAAGAAAACGCACCCCAGCACCACCTCCTCATAGTCTTTGTGTTCGTCAACACCACTGTCATCAGCCCCGCCACCGCCATCACCAATAGCAGCAACAGTACTACCCCCGTAGTCAGCATCATCATATTAACAATTTTTAAGATATTATTTTTAATATATTATTCTAAAATATAAAAATAAATTGATAAATTGAATAAATAAAATATATTGATGACTTTATGAAAAAAAATATTAAGTCAATAATATTTATTTGAAACAATATAAATTGCATAAATTACAACTCTACTATAATTAACAAAATAAAAAATACAAGTTATATTACTAAATAATTATCATAAACATCTTTAAAGTTATCTCTTTTGGTCACCTAGGTCCTCAATAAGATCTTCATCAATCTAAAACAAAAAAATACGTTTAATAAAAAATGTTTCTATTACTTGTAGTATATATCGGGTGTTTCGCATAAGAACTGACACAGAGCTGGGTAATGGAAGCCAAAATATGGTGATTTGACGCAACTTGCCTTTATTTTAAGCTGCACCTCTGAGAAGTTATACGCCTTGATAAGTTTCAAATTTCGATCAAAATCAGTATCTCAGTTATACATGAACTTAGAAAAAAACAAATTTTGTGCACGGTGTGACTGTACCAAGAGCATTAATCGACATTAAGAAGAATTCAATTGAAGCATTTTAAAGGGTTGTTAAGGGTTGATGCACCATTAAAATGTGATAGAATTTTTTAACCCATTGACAGACTTAAATTATTACTTTATTTTACGAACAATAAAATTAATTCTAAAACTTTTATACATTTTGACTTGCGCGCCGCGCCGCTCGGGCACTTCACTGTGCGCCGACCCCGTGTACATATTCATCACCTCACTTTTTGAAATATTTTAGCAATGATTTTGAAACTACTCTACTTCATGTGCTTTATACAAGTAGAGACCTGTTGCGGCGCGGGAATTTTATTGCGATATTCGCAATTTCAAAATTAGATATTATTTAAGTAAAGTAGATTTATTATTATTATTATTATTATTATTATTATTATTATTATTATTATTAATATTATTATTAATATTATTATTAATATTAATAT